AATGAAACAAAATAGAATGACTTCGAGAGTGTATAAATCTGTAGCGGAGGGAAAGGGGTAGGGGGTCGGCCTAGGAATGGTTGGAGGGAGGGGGTAAAGGAGGTTTTGTGTGCGAGGGGCTTTGACTTCCAGCAAGCATGCGTGAGCGTGTTAGACAGGATCGAATGGAGACAAATGTCTTTTAGGACTTGACGTGCTGTTGGAGTGTAAGCAAGATAACATTTATGAAGGGAATCAGGGAAACCGGCAGACCGGACTTGATTCCTGGAGATGGGAAGTACAGTGCCGGCACTCTGAAGGAGGGCTGTTAATGTTGTAATTTTATAACTGTAGTGTTAGCATGCCTGTAGCAAGACAGTGATAGAGTGAATGATGGTGATTTTTTTTTGTTTTTCGGTCCACCCTGCCTTGGTGGGAGAAGGCCGATGTGTTAATAAATAATAATTGTATTCTTGTTTTTTATTGTGTATTGTATATAGTTTTACGAGTGACCAATGCGGTCAGTGTGGTCAGTTTCTGTCACAACTACCGAGCAACAAGGTGTAGGCGGGGGAGGTCGATAGTCGTTGTTACATACACAAGTCACATGAGCATGACAGTGTGACGGGAGGGGGTGGGAGGGAAGGGATGGGGGAGGTTTTCGGGGGTGAGGGGGAGCGAGATTGGTGGGAAGAATCAGGGAATCGGCGGGAAAAATATTTTTAGACAAGAACATGATGGATCATGAACGTGTCACGAACACTTGTCAATAACAGGAGTTAACTCACACGTTGAAGAGAGAAAGAGAAGAGAAAAGACGAGAGCTGGAGCCCATGACTAACAAATAGCATCCACAGGCCCATTGTATAAAAAACATAACTATGGAAAAAAATATAGGTTGAACTTAATTACTAAAAATAAACCACAAACTATACGTCAGTACTAAGGAAGTCTAAACAAGTGTATTAATGCTAGCAGGTTCATTGAAGTGTGAGGTGATACGAAGAACACCTGGAACACACACATATCTTGGGTTCTCGGAAACTGACCGAAACCAGAGATATTGTCCTAACCAAATCCACTGAACAACATATCCAGCCTACTGAAACAGTCAGTACATTAAATGATTTCTTCTCTACCATAGGATCACTTCTAGGTAGCAAAATCCCAAGCACTAGTGCTCGAGCAAGTCTTCCGAGCTCCCTCTATCTTGGCTCCAGCTAATCCTACTGAGGTCTCTCTGATAATAAACTCACTGAAAAATAAGTTATAGAATATAGCACAAGCACCACCGCTATAGTTCAGAAGAGCGCCTCATGTGCTTTCACTCGCCATTGCAATACTGTTAAACAAATCATTAGAAACCAGCACATTCCTGACAATGCTTAAGATAGCAAGGGTTACCCCAGTACACGAAGGAGGTGACCCAGCCGACATAAATAACTACAGACCTATATCTAATCTGTCACTGTTATCCAAAATCTTCGAAAAAAAAAATCCATAAGAGATTATATTCGTTTCTAGCGCTATTCAACATGCATAACCCCTGCCAGTTTGGTTTAAGACCAAATGCAATTATAAAAATTCTAGACTTCATTTATGCAGCTCTTGAGATAAGTGAATATCCACTAGGAAAGCATTAGATACGGTAGACCACAGCATCCTGCACTTTCAGCTTGGACATACGGTATCAGAAGTCATTCACTTGCATATCTAAATTCCTACCTTAACAACAGACACCAATACATCTCCATTAAAAGCATAACCTCATCAACGTGACCTATCAACATAGGGTTGTCCCAAGACAATGTACTCTGCCCTCTGCTTTTCCCCGTATACATCAGTGATCTTCCAGATGCATCCCAACAACTTAGACCTGTTCTGTTTACAGACGACACAACCTTTGTAATCTCCCACCCAAATCTGACTTCTGTCAATAGCACTGTTGTTGAGGAGCTTATAGAGATATCTACCTGGATGAATACTAATACATTCACTCTTAACATTGACGAGACTTCCTACGTGATGTTTGGGAACAGATGTCCAACTGAATGTTATGATTAATGGGTTTCCCATTGCTATACAGAACGAAGGAAAATTCTTATGTCTGTTCCTTAACTACAACTTCAAATTCAATACCTACGTTCAGAACATAAAAAAAGTATGTAAACCAGTTACTATGTACCTCAAACAGCACTACTTACATTGTACCACTCGCTAATCTATCCTACCTCACCTATGTATTTGTGTCTGGAGATCTACAACAGCAAATAATTTAAGGTCAACAACTCAGCAGGTGTACAGTAGCTGCACGGTACACCCCCACTCTTCAAAAGTCTAAACTTATATAATGTATACAAAATTCACTCGTACTATGCATACTACATATATATCAATCCCGCCCTGAAACGCTTTCATGATAGCTGCAACAAAACTCATAGGTATAATACGAGGTACAAAAATTTCAGTGCCATTCAACGTGTCCGACTCAGCTTGTGTAAAAGCTCAATGTGCATAAAAGGACTTAAAATCTGGAATTATTTTTCTGAAGATTCCAGAGGCTTTCTGTCTGCCAGCCACTTTAAAGTTAATGTTAACACACACCATTTCATCTTTATGTGATCCTGACAACAATTCATTATGCCAAACAAATCCTGAAACCCTGTCTTTCATCCATTATTATTATCCCTGTTTTGTGCCATCCTTCTTCAACTCTCGTTTCCTACTAGAAAGACATTAATTCATGTACCTAGCTTCATTAATTTATCTTTAGTAAGGATTTTTATTAAATTACTGAATACCTTCACTATATTATAAAATGTTTCTTTATACTGTTGCACCATTTGTCTCATTGTCTAGTAATTATAGTTAGTTTTAAGGCTGCCTGAAATGCCTTGCATAACAAGGGGCTTCCTATAAAGTAGTTCATACAAGTCAGTTACTTAAATTATATACTGTACAGAACGCCACTTTATAGAAACAACGTTGTTTGTTGAAAGAGAGAGACAGAGATTATAATGAATTCATTGGTAAGAGGTATGGTAGTATGTGGGGTGTTCTTGATGACGCTTGGTTAGAATATGTGATTTGCACCTTTTAATTGGAGTATTGGCACATTCACTTAATGTAAGCGTAAATACCAACGTTTTCTCAGAGCCAGAGGAAGAGTACGGAAGAAATAGAGAGGAAGAGCAACTAATAAAGAGCTGGAAGCTTAGAGCAACTAAATAGCTGGAGGTCCACTGGAGAGTGAAAAGTTGTATAGGAAGATAAATTAGTCAGTCTGTTACCCGAGACTTGCTATCATGCCAAGGAATACCGTGCTTAAGGTGATGTTATCAAGCAGGGTAACACCTTCGTCACATCCTTAATCAACAGGAAAATACATCCGTCATCTGCAGCAAGCTTTCACATCAACATGGGTTTGGCTATCGTTGACAGGATATCCTTGGGATAAAATATGACTGCATTGACCATGAAGTCATATTTTATCCCAGGTATATCAATGTCATTGCCGGGCTCTGAAATTCTTATCATACATCTATTGCTGTTAACACTCCATTAGTGACGTTATGCTGTCTAGAGACCATTAAGTTAATAATAGCTGCAAATTAGCGAGGGCAATAGACATCTCTCTTGTGTAAGTAAGAGTCCATTCATCCGTGTAGATATATGATTCCGGAATGGGATGAAGCACAACGTTGAAGCAGAAAAGGGCCACGCATTGAAGAACACACAAAGATTGCTTTGTTTTAAAACTACACTAAAAGGGAGATCGTAGGCAGTGACTCGCTAGGGAAAGAGTGGAGCCAGAGTGGTTAATCTAGCATGCAAGGCATCCAAGAAGCTTACAGGGTTGTTGTGCGTCTCGTACCTACTTGACAGCAGAAGCTGCAAAACTTTATAAGAGACAGCCTCCTACCTTGAGTCTTCACTACTTCTTGGATGGGTTGCTTTATCCTTTCCCTCTTCCCCCTCTCCTCTCATCTGCGACTTCTGCACAAGATAAAGGATCGTGCAAGGCCTTAATCTGCCCTAATAAGACCTATCATGTCAGTATAGCCTCAACACCGGAGAGATGTCGGGGTCTTATAGTCATGTAAAAAATAACATTCTCAAGGTCTCCCACTGAGCTTACGTTTGCGGATAACATGATGCCACCACTACACTACAATCAGGGATCCATCATCAGTTTCACTCTGGATTTACTCTTCTCAAGGACATCACTCCCACGGCATCATGCATTACTAGAGTAATACATTTGGAACAGGTTCACAAAACTTCTACATTAAATAAATAAGTCAGTAGACATGAAAGTATTCGCCCACAGCTGGCGCCACCTGTTCCCTACATATATTCCAGTTAATATTAAATACAGTTTAAACCAATAAATTTATTGTACTATATCGCTAAAGGAAGGTTTTTAAGAAAACTTAGAGAGAGATGGGAAACGGGAAGGAACAGAGGGAGCAGGGACTGGGAGATTGTTGCTATTGTGTTTATCACAATTTCTCGTGACTTTTGAACCAGTTAACAAAGAGTGAGAGCTACTCTTATGCTGCACCAGCGGGAAGGACTCCTTGTCCTTGTCCTTCCCTCTTTTGTTACTCAGAATTATGTGTATTATGCATCACAAGAGCCAGCTCTCTAGCAGTTTATTTGCTGTCTACTGTAAGTGTGTATATATATATATATATATATATATATATATATATATATATATATATATTATATATATAATATATATATATATATATATATATATATATATATATATATATATATATATATAAATATAGGGAAGTACCACCTCTATGGCTGGAATGGGGACCCTCATCCTCAGAGAAGACAATAAACAAGGAAAACTCAAAGTTCTCCCCGGAGCTGTTTGAATATTTTCTTCTACCACTCTCCTCAAACATATTGTTTTATTAAACAGGCACTTTATCCATTTGTCACTACACCTGGTAAACTACTGTCTCCTAGAGCTATCTAATCATTTTTCTTTTTATCCCCAACAGAGTGATGGTGTTAGCGATGGAATGTTGACGACGGAGGAGCTCCAGCAGGTGTTTGGTGAGAGAGACACAGGTAATGCTGTACATGTGTTTGGAGAGACACGTAATATTTTGCATGTGATACAAGAGAAACAGGTACTATACAGATATGAAGAGAGACAGGTATCGTGTCTCGGCACATCCCTAAGCCTGGCCCTAGCAGCGTCCTTTCTTGTGTTTTACTTAATGTGAGTCACATGTTGCTGTCATTTATTAGACAAAGTTTATATTTTTAAATGCCTGTCTTGAATATACCTGCTCTGTGTTTACCTGCCTTGTGTGTATCTACCTTGTACACACCTGTTTTGTGCATAAGTACCTTGTCTCTATCTGTTAACTAATGGCCAGGCCTCCTAGTCTGCTACTTGATCAATTAGGGTGTTAGTATTTGCAGCACAGTTCGACGTAAGCACTAATTAAGCGACTTTATAGTTAAAAACTACCCATATTATTCACAGGGAAGCGCTAAACCATTCTGGGAATGGGAAGCGATCAAGCCTGATACAAATAAAAAGGCAGTTTTAATTTCTTGGATCAGTAACCCTTCGAGGCACCTGAATGGTGTTTGCTTAGGGAATATTGAACCCGAGATTCCCAATTTGTGAAGCCATATTGACCGTCAGTCATATTGTGTGTAATGAGTAAAAAACAAAGTTGTTGTCATTATTCTCTCGAGGCAATAAAAATAAACGTAAAACGTCCCACCCTTTTATATATTTTTTTATTTTATTTTCAGTGCCAAATTATAGTGTATTTACACCTCTGGTCGTTGGTAGTGTGGAGAAGGGAGGACGCCGCACTCGCTCCACCACAAGCACCTTCCTTCAATTTAACGCTCTCGGTCGTGCTTTTAATTTCAGGTGAACTCTTGTGTGTTGACTTGTGATTCAAAGCAGTAGCAAAAGTGATTATAGTAATATAATTATAATGATAACTGTTATTCAGAGAAGTCACTAGAACGTTACTAACATAAACTACCATGTCACTGTAGCAAATCCTACATCCCCTCTCCCACAATTCATACAGATTACAGCCCAACAGCGACCTATTATCGCCCTATTTTGTAATCATTGGTCGTCATGGAGACAGGGCGGACATCCGGGATGTGGACAGGGATCAACTAGACTGTTACTATCAAGGGGTGGACCAGGCTCAGGGCTCCTACAACACCTCTATCGCAGTAGAGCTCTGCGGCCCAGTTGTAAGTTACTCCTATACTTTACCCTCTGTATTCCGTTTTCTTTGATGAATGCTGGAGGACGGTCGGTTAGTCGTCTGGAATTGTCCGGTGATTTTTATTCAAAATTAAATCAAAATGTTTATTTCCTTGTAAAGCTTACAATGTGTGGTTAACATGTTATAAAATATTAATTACAAAGAAGGCCACTAGCATGCCTAGGCATTTTGGGCAGACTAATACTAATTCTTACTCTATAGTCTATATTCATATAGGTTATGGAGCAGTATTGAACATACATTATTAAATACATACATAATTAAATGCATACCCAATTAGGTACATACATAATTAGATTTATAACAGTGAGATAGTACCTATCACATAATAATATTACAAATGGTAAATTTAGTAACGGGATTGAATTGTCTTGGCATGATACACTGTTTCTATTAAGGCTCATATAATGCATCGACACCATGCCTAACCCTTCTAGGGTAGGGTAGGTGCCTGAGTCCGAGCCTTTAGCTCATAAGACTGTCATTCCCATTTGCCCCCTTGGGGCGGGGATGGCAGACCAGAGAGGCCTAGCTTGTGGCTAGGCCTGGGGACAGTTGGTCCCAAAGATGAGGAGGTGCTTGTGCCTCCTCTCATGGGAGACTTACGTCTCAGACACTCCCTAAAGAGGGAGCCAAGGCCGGGCCACCACTTGGAGAAGGCCCGGGCCGGGAGAATACCGGCTAATCTTTAACTAACTAACTAACTCATATAATGGAAGAGTTTTTTAGGCAAACTTAGGACTAACTTAAGTTTTAATAGGCAACAGTTATATTAGGAATTTTATGTTTACAGTCATTTGGGTGAGTGTAAGTGTAAATTAGAGATAATGAGAGTAAGACTATATTGCTGTGGATGTGTTCATGATACAAAAAAAAAAAAATTAGGTAGTTTTCATTTGGTTAGCTGATGATGGGGTGTGTTAGGGAAATAAGATGTTTTTTAATGGTAGTTTTGAAAATGGTGTCTGAGCCTGCGGTTCTAGAGCTTTCGGGTAGGGAGTTCCAGATTTTAGGACCTTTTATGTACATCGAATTTTTGTAGAGGTTTAGCCGGACACGGGGAATGTCACAGAGATTTTTGTGTCTGGTATTGTGTCTATGGGTCCTGTTGCAACTATCAAAAAAGTGTTTTAGTTGAGGATTAATATTAGAATTTATGGTTCTCTAGATGTAGGTTGCACAGTAGTAAGTGTAGATATTCTGTAGAGTGAGTTTAGGTCTTTGAAGAGTAGGGGGGATGTTGTTTCATAGTATTAGATTGCCTGATAATTCTTACTGCGGCTTTTTGTTGGGTTGTTATTGGCTTTAGGTGGGTTGCTGCTGTTGAACCCCAGGCAAAAATAGCATAGGTGAGGTAGGGTTAGATGAGTGAATGGTGTGAGTAGGGCTGATTGTGGTACGTAGTAACATATCATAGAGAGGATCCCAACCGTTTTGGATACTTTTTTTGTTATGTGTTGGATATGGGTGCAGAATTTCTGGTTGCTGTCAAGATGTAGGCCGAGGAATCTGCCCTCATTATGTTTAGCAATAAGAGTGATGTCAATCATAATAAGTTGTGCAACATCTACTTTGTTATCAAACATAATATAGAAGGTTTTGCCAGTATTAAGTGCAAGTTTATTGACAGTCATCCAGGTTGATATTTTTTAGTAGCTCTTCGTTAACAATGGTGTTGAGTGAGGCAAGATTTGGGTGGGAGATGAAAAATAATTTCTCACAGCTGATATAAAAAGTGAAGTAGTTCAAGTGTTCTGACAGGAGGAATCATTTGGGGAAAAGAACTTAATAAATTTGGTTGATTTATATTTAAATCGAATAAAGTGTTTATTTCATATTTCATCTGTGTTTACAAATTCAAAATATCTCCCTTTCTCATATTTCTCAGTACTAGGCCTTATACTTGAGTCTTTGAGGCATAGAATAAAGAAGTTGGCCCCGGGCAGTGGCGTCGTAAGGGGGGCGGGGGGGGCGCCCCGGGTGACACCATCAAGGGGTGACACCATAGAGCCTCTAAAGAAGGTGGCACTAATGCACAAAACAGTGCTGCACCAACATAAGAGAAAAAATCCATCGTTTCTATATAGCCTATTATATGATTAGAGTACAAATAGGCCTATATAAGGAAAATTATTGATTTTGATGATGTGTTAGATGATTTTGCAGGATTGAAGGAAAGGAAATTTAAGATCAGATTCACTGAGATGTTACCTGTACTCAAGGTCAAATCGGAACTTGTGTTTCTCTGATATTGCATTTTTTTTTTTTTTATTGTTGAAGATGAATAAATGTAGAATCTGTTGGCTGTACTCAAAGTGGTATTTGAGTTTATGTTTCCTCAATATTACTACTATTATTTATTTTATCATTAATTAAGTTGAGAAGTATTCTCCTGTTCGGTTTATGGTCCTTAAACGTTCTCATTGTTAAACATTAGTCACTGGTCATGCAGTAGTGACGTAACTGGAGTTTAATCCCCCCGCCCTTGGAGTTTATGGGGGTGACTCCAAAGATTCCGCCCCGGGTGACACCAACCCTAGCAACGCCGCTGGCCCCGGGCAACACCAGACCTCTGCACGCCACTAGATCAGGAGGAGTTTGAGGTGGTAATGAGTCCCTGAGCCTGGAGTCGATGTAATCAGTCTGATCAGGCCGAGGGACTCATTACCTCAAACTCCTTCTGATCTTCAACATTCTTCTTTGTATAGGACTGATGAAGCCAGTGTGGCGAAACGTTTCCTCAGTAAAGATACCCAAGTGTTGCACATGTGTCTAATTCATCAACTTTGTCGGTTCTCTGAATCATTTATCTAAAGTTCAGTCTTGATCTTCCATGGAACATTTTGTAGAATTTCACAGATAGAGGGGGAGGGGGAGCGCAATGAAAGTACGGGAAACGACGCTTTTTTTTTTCAGAAAATTAAGTTAATGTTGCATAAGTTTTCATTTTCGTAGAATGTTCTTGAACGTACGTTTTCTTTGGTTCAGCGTGGTGTCATCTCCAGCCCGACGGCGGAGTACGTGATCGAGCCTCTACCTCAGGTTGTACGGAGAAGGCGACGGACCACCGTCCGTGGAGATCTCACATCCCACACCCACATCCTGTACACCAAGCAGGACAACACAGGAGACACCGTGGAGGCCAGTGAGTATCCTAGTGAGCAGGTTTCTTGATGTCTCCTCGAATTTTAGATCTCCAGGAGTATCTTAAGGGCATGTCCGAATTTTTCTTCCTCAGAGGGTTTTTATTTTAAAATTTGAGAGCGCCTCATCCGATAAGTTTTAAATTTTAAACTGTGGTGTAATGTAACTAGGAAAAGTGTTATGTAACTATTGGAATATGTGGGTGTCCTCTGGTCTATTTTATATAGACCATTCCTAATGTGATTTCATTGCGATAACTTGAGAAAGCCTCTTCTGATAGGCCTTATGTTTTCAACACTGGTGTATCGTACCTAAAAGGCTGGAAATGTTTAAGAGCCAATTTGACATTTCTTTCAAATTTGCGTGGTATTTTTTTCCGTGAAATAACTGTAATGTGCCTTTTCGGAATTGCTTTATCTTTGATAGTGATGCATCTTATGAAAAGGGTAAGACCTTTTGGATTTAAGCCGTATAGATTCATATTTACATATTTACCAGCAAAGTTAATGAACTTGGAATCGTTGACGTCTGTGAGGACGTCGTCATTGTCCATCATATAATTTTTGTCAGCGCAGGACTTCAGAAGTTTAGTGTCCTCACACTTCAAGGAAGGTTCCTTGATGTTGGTGAGCGGCTCTTCATTCAAGAAAGTTCATTTGTCATCCCTTGAATAGAACTGATTGACTCGCATTCTTCCCTACAGGTTTAGGGCTGTCCCTAAATATAATTATTCAGTATAATCTATATGAAAATTGTATTACCATACGTAGCATAATTTTGTTTCTATTGAATTAATTGAATTACTGCATATTACTAAGTAAGTTTATTCAGGTATGCACAAATACAGTTACATAGATTATCATACATAGCTGCATATGTGTAGAGAACCTAGGGTAACCTCAAAAAAAAAAAAAAGTTAGTGACTTATTTCCAATGGGGTCAAGTTATAGCCTGCATATCTATCTCTTCACTTCCTCTATTTTATCTTACTCGTTCACACGCTTTCCATACTCTACCTCTTGTTTGCCACACTAAATGTTTCATTTACTGTGTTCCAGCAGGATTGTCCCGGAGGCGGCGGTCCTTCCTGCCGACATTGCAGCAGCAGCAGCAGGAGACACGAGCTCTGCTGGGGTTGCGTCAGGAGCGTCAGTCCTACTACGATAGCTACGAACACGTTGTAGACTCACGTATACGATCTGAGTGGGGCGAGGGAGGAGGTGGTGGTGGTGGCAACAACGATTTCTACGATGAGCGCAGCATCAGTGACGACGGGTGGGTGGTCGCCTGTGTCAGTTCGTTCATCCAAGACAAAGGGAGTTTCCAAAGACAATAGTTTTGATTGTATTCGTACAAAAACCGTACGTGAGTCACACCTCTAACTAAAAACATTGTGCATACGTGTGTGTGTGTACTCGCCTCACCTATTTGTGGTTGCAGGAATCGAGTCACAGCTCCTGGCCCCGTGTGTGTGCGTGTTTGTTTACTGACTCAGCGATGGTGTTTGTGGCTGTTGAGTTGAAGTTTCATGGTTGCCTCTTCATACTTTACTGGCGGCAGAAGGCTTAACCTCTGGGATCGATTATATTTACTTGGAAATGCATCTATGGAATCAGTCTCAGGTTACTTTTCTCCTAGCTCGCTCAACCACTTTATTATCCTTACACAGATTAATCTTCTAATGTTTTCTTATATATTTAGCAGTCTACTTCCTATTTGTGTCTAATTTTACAATTCCCTATTTGTGACTTAAGTTTGTGTGCGCGACAGGAAGGTGCGACGAGGTGAGGACCTGTACATAGAAACGGCAGTGTTTGTGGACAGGGATCTTTACCGTCACATGGAAGACAACTTCCCCACTGACACAGAAGATCAGGTCCTGAGAGTCGTCCTCGCCATGGTCAACGCGGTGAGTATGGTGGCGGAGTCAGTTTAGGAAGGATATAACTCTGTTAGAGAGCCTCAGTGGTGACCTTTGGGGTCGATTATCGAAGGGCAGTGAAGGGCACACTCGCCTTACTGATCGATACCTCTGTGACTGTCATACATCTTGTCCTATGCTTTGGCCTTTTAAGCTGCCCCATTAATTTAATACTGGCCTGATTTAAAACTTTTTTGACTTGTTGGCGAATTCTTTAAACATAGACAAGTTGATGTTTATTTCATAAATGCAAAATTTTAAACATTTTATGAGATTATTATTGTACTGGATGTTTATAGATATTTGTGTTGTAGTGTGTGTGAGAGTGTCATACACACTATTAACCTTTGTTTTATGTAAGTATTCAGTGACTGTCTGGTCTCAGAGCTCTTCCAGTCCAACATTTTCCCGTTTTAGATCTCCAACTCATCCTCGTAATTCACCACACCTTCTCACATCTATTCTTTCAGTCCTTTGCCCCCAAACCTTTTCCTTTATACCACCTCCCTTAAACTTTCCTCTTCACAGTTCACCTATCTCATTTCTTCTTTCCTTCAAGCCACTTCTTTCTTGCACAGGTTCAGCTCCTCTATAACGACGACTCTCTGGGTCATCGCGTCAAATTCGTGTTGAAGCGCCTGGAGGTACTCTACGGTGACCCGCCCTCCCTCCACCGCCCTAACGATATTGACAACTTCCTGACCAGCTTCTGTGCCTGGCAGCGTCAGGAAAACCCTCCCGAAGATACCCACGAGCTGCATTGGGACCACGCCCTCATCCTGACGGGGCTGGATGTGTACACCCTTACCTCCAGTGGCAGACTCAACTTCCCAGGTTGTCGGTAAGCTCCATGGCTGTACGGCAAAATGCAGGAGAAAGTAAATCTAACAGATCCTTCTATATATTCTCAGGTTAGCTTGCTGGAAATAATATATGAAGAAATGTAAAATATTTTTAAATAATGTAGATTGATAGTCAAACTTAACAGTTCTGGCTAGCAGAAATTTAGCCCTTTGACTGTCGCAACCCCAATCCTGAGGTGTCTCCTGGTGTCGCAAAATTTAAAAAAAAAATTATTTTTTCTTATGAAATGATAGAGAATCTTTTCCCGATTGTAATGACACCAAAAAAACGAAATTTGATGGAAAACTGACGGAATTATGCTCTCGTGAAGTTAGCGACCTCGGCGCTGTTTACAAATCGGCGATTTCGCCCACTTTGAGCCCTATTTTCGGCTAATTCCATTGTTCCAGTCGCCCAAACTCAGCTATTTCTTTAGAACTCCATTTTTTCTATCGATTGAGTATAAGAAACTGCCCATTTACCGATTTCAACTACCTAATAATGTGGTCAGAAATTTGCAATTTGGCCAATTTCACGAAAACTAAAAAATATGACAATTTCAAAATAAGGTCCAGAATGAACAATGCAGACATTCCTGGCTCTAAAATAACATTTTCTTTGCTCATCAGTCATGTCTCCAGGCCCCTCTGATATTACACTTGCTTTCTATTTTGAATTTTTATTCAAACAAAAAATAGAAGACTTACTATTATGCAGACTACTGCAATACTGTAATAACTATAAATAACATCAACCCATTCATGACTGCATATTAGAATGGCTAGTTGGACATTTATTGGACAATGACATCATTTGTTTACTTTTGAACATTGGCAAAATCAAACATTTCCCCTACTTTGAGCTCCATTTCTAGGTTCTTTTTATAGTAAAATCAATCAATCAAAATCACCTCTATTTCTATAATTTGCTTTCCATTCTATCAAATGAGACCAAGAAAACGAGAATACAACCATAAATACTATACGAAAATAGACTACAAAGTCGGCATTTTAATTAAAAAAACGTTCGGAGTTTTTTTTTTATTATTATGCACTGCGTGCTGCAGGATTTTTTTTATATGGTGCACACTGACCACACAGACCCATTCTCTCACATGTGGGCCTACCACCTTTCTCCTGCTTGATTTGAAGCCGCTAGAATTTATGAGTATATATACGTCAAACACGGTACCTCGTAAGACGTATATATACGGCCGCGACAGTCAAAGGGATAAAGCCAATAAAATTCTTGGTTTTATATCAATATATATAAATCATAGTAAGAGACCTTTTTGAGTTTTCCCAAGTTACCTTCCTGGAAACATTAAATCTAGAAAAGTAAGGTAACATGGTTTATTATGGTATTCTGAGGTTAGCTTGTATAGAAGGCTAAGACTTCCAAAAATTACTTTGCAAGGATCTTTGTAAACGGACAAACCAGTCATTAGTGCCAGATCTATGGCAGCAAGGCAGAAGTGACCACTAACCTACCTGTGCTAGACTCACTGGCATGAGTGAATCAAGTCTGAGGGTTGGAAGAGGGAAGGGGAATGGGGTACTACTGATTGTGGAGGGGTTAAGGGGTGGTAAAAGGGAAAAAAAATTCATGAGTACAATTGGGGGAAGGAGAAAATGGCGAGGATAGTTACAGGTGGAGTGTCCTCTTAAATAATCACTTTTGTGAATTGATGCTGATGAAAAACTCTTTATCCAACTATTGGAGGTACTTTCTCCTTCCCTGACTCAAACCCGATTACCCACCATTTTGCAGGGGCTGTATAACCCTTACGGATTTAGCATTTACCTGTGTATATGATTGTATGTGTGTGTAATTAGTAAACCAACATATATCTAAAACTGAATACTTGTAATTTTTCATGGAATAAGCGTTCCTTAGCCTCGTACTACTAGAACGTCACTGACCATTGGAGTGTGTTGGGACAGTAAAAATCTAGCTGTCAGCATCTAGAACAGGGATCCGAGGCTTGTCCATGCCTTGAACGGTCTGGATCAGGTGTAAGCTGTCAATGCCTATATAATCCCAGTATCAGCTCAATCCTTGAAAAATTATATTCGTTCATTAGGTATTTGCTGACCACTGTATTTGTGTACGTGCTTGTAGTTTTGCTTGCTCTCTCCCTCCCTGGGCGGTTGCTTGTCGCTTCCTGAGGCCTGGCACCTGTGGCTGGCATGTGCACACGCTCCAGCTCCTGCACCGTCAACGAGGGTCGCCACTTTGAGTCTGTCTACGTCATGGCTCACGAGATCGGCCACAAGTGAGTAGGGGTTCGGACCCAATGGGTTTTTGGTCTTACTTGGAGTTAACGGATGATCAAGATTTGTCAGGTAGTTTTTTCCCTGACGAATAAAATAAAATACATGGAAAGAATCGTATGAAGGGGTATAAAAGGAAGTTTATAAAAGAAGAAAGGACTGGCTTCATTTTGTAGTTGGTCGGTAGTTAAGTGGATGTAGTCTTGCTTGAGGGGATGGTGATGCTGCTTAAGGAGAAATGAAGCCGTTAGTAAGGAAGAACATGGGTGAGGAAGACGGAAATAGAAAGGAAAGGGGAAAGGGAAATGATAGAAAAGATAAGTTTTTTTTTTTTTTGATGGGGTGGAAATTGGATACATCAGCAATATGCTACTCTTCAGTATAATAGGAAAGGAATGTAAGGGATAGGCGAAAAAAAGTAATTGAGAAGGAAAGGGAAATTGGAGAAGGGAGGGCAGGAAAGAAGAAGAATCGGGAGGGAAGGGGTAGGGAGAGAGACAGGAGAAAAAAGGAGACAGCTAGCTGTTTAGAAAGGGAAATGTGTAATACGGTATTTATATTCCCACTGTGCATTTATTTTTTTGTATGTGTGTGTTTTATTGAAGGGAATTGTTAGTGTAATGTGTGGCATGTTTGGTTGTTTGTTGTGCCTATAGTTTACAGAGTTGTATTCACGGGGGTTGAGCCTCCTGGCCTACTGTCACCTGCATTAATGATATCTGCCTCCTGGACTTTATCTTATGTTGTTATATTTTGTGTAACTGTTATTGTGTTTTATTGTGTAAAGCTACTTGTGAATCATGCGAGTAATATTACTGTAATTAGCAATAAAATTATAAACAAGTGTGGTGGTCGACAGCCTGGGAATGCGACACGATGGGCTGCAGGCTGGCAACAACTGTGACCCCGGCAGGTACCTCATGTCCCCTACCTTGGGATCAGGCAAGATCACTTGGTCCCCCTGCTCCCGGCGGTACCTGGATGACTTCCTCAGGTGAGTGAGACAAGGTCACCTAATCTCCTTGAATACAAGTGCTTAATTTTAATAACGTCAGTAGTAACGTCAAGGAACGTGTTTATGTAGCGGTGAGGTATCTATATGTCTACTACGACAGGTCGCAGCAAGCGTCGTGTCTGCGGGATGTGTCAGCCCCTGACAGTCAGCAGATGAACCACGAAGCTCACTCTCCCCCTGGGCAGCGCTTCTCAGCAGACCAGCAGTGTGAGTGTGTACTTGTACTCCCTTTGTTTGTAGGGGTCGAGTCATTGTTCCTGGTCCCGCCTCTTAACTCTTATCGATACGTTTCAAGTTTTAACTCATCGATAAGCTTTACCGATTTCTGGTCTCCAGGACCTGCTCATAGTACTCTTGAAGCGTCCGTCTTTTAGTGTGTTCCACTTGCCACACTGACATTGAAATTATACTTCCTAACGTTCCTGTGGTTCATCTGCTTCTTACGTCTCATCTGTCCCTCCTGTTGATATCTCCTTGTGTGTATGTGTGGGGGGGGGGGCGTATGTTTAATTACCTATTTACAGTTTCAGTAGCAGAGTTTAAGTTCAGAAGTCCGTCTTCGCTATTTCATCAATATTTAATTTTTTAACTTGGTTAATGCACTTAATAGATCCTACTGTAATCCCTAACTTTGTTCAACTTTTATGACCTTATATGTGATTGTCTCCTTCCTCCTCCCAGACAGTGAAGGCATCCTTAGTCCTCTCAAGCTGGGAGCTAGTTTTTAGCTAGTCTTTGTTTTATCTTATCCATTTTTTAAGGTGCAGAAACCATGCTATCATAAAATATTCCAATTTTTGCCTCGCAATACATCATGAATTTTTTTTAGCACGTTCCCACCTATATATCTGAAGACTGTTTTAAAGTTGGCCAGTGAGGCATAAGAGTTTCTCACGATTTCCATTATATTGATTTCCGGCGACAATCTTTTGCCAGTGATGACTGTCAAGTTTCTCTCTCTCTCTCTCTCTCTCTCTCTCTCTCTCTCTCTCTCTCTCTCTCTCTCTCTCTCTCTCTCTCTCTCTCTCTCTCTCTCTCTCTCTCTCCTCTGTTCTGTCTCTTCTCTCTCTCTCTCTCTCTCTCTCTCTTCTCTCTCTCTCTCTCTCTCTCTCTCTCCTCTCTTCTCTCTCTCTCTGTGAAACGTTTTATTAGTCACGTAATCTATATTCTCCACGTCGCCTGTTATTGCTTCCTCACATTTCCCCCGCACGTCACTTGCTAACATAAATTTCGACCATCCAATATATAACTACATTTCCTCAGTCTTCATGTAGGAATTTAATAATACTACTTTATTAATTTGTATTACTTTGCATCATCATATGTATATTCATACAGTTTTTGTTACTTCTGGCAAGTGTTTTGTATGTCCGGCGAGTCAGAAACATTGTGGGCAGCCTCACCGGTCTTTGCCTCGCCTCGTTCTTGACATTATTTTGTATCTTTTCCACTACAATATTCGTATCTCTCTTCCAAACACAAAATCTCTCATCCACTGTAATAGCTTCTTTTATACTTTATTTTGTAGTCTGTAGATTATGCTTTCTTAAGAATAAGCTCTCTAGAAATCAAAACTCATGCAAGGCATTTTTACCCATTAAAAAAAGAGCACTGAATATCAGATAGATTATTGATCTCAGTGTTTTACCTATTTTTTCTTTTATTTTTTTTTCTAGCACATTTATGTCTTGTCAGTGAAGCACGTCTGTAAGTATCGACGAACTATGCTCAATTTTCCAATTTGTTTGCTACCAAACTTTCTTGAATAATGAATTATATAACACACAGATAGTGATAATTATGGGAAAATTTGTAATAACAGGAATGTGAATTAAAAAAATAAACAAGGCATTGTGTAATAAACTGTCTATAAAATAATACAACCAAATCCTATCAGAACAAACTAGAGATATAACAATAAATGAAAGTGTTAACCCCAATGTTATTGTTTCAGCAGAAGGGATGAGGGGGGGGGGGGAGGGTGTTGATGGATGGGAGGGATGGAGGTAATGACAAGCGGATATTGAAGGTTGAACGAGGGACATCATCAAGGTTAATGCCAGTGTGTGTGTGTGTGTGTGTATGTGTGTGTGTGTGTGTGTGTGTTGTGTGTGTGTGGTGTGTGTGGTGTGTGTGTGTGTGTGTGCGAGCGTGTGCGTGCACGTGTATGTACGTACATATACTTACAAATTTGCACTCTCCTATTTATGCTTGTGGAGGTTGAGCTCCAGAGCTTTGGCTCATTCATTTACACTTCGTTTAGCATTTGTAATTTCTGTCTTTTGGAGTTCTGCCATACCTTGTTTGGAAACCATGTGTAGGGTGTTGCCTCCACTACCTGGCTTTCTAGCGTGTTCTACACTTCACTAGTGCTTTCTTATATGAGTTTATTTTATATAAACTTCCATTAGTGTCCCTCGTTGTTTTCTCTCACACATCGCTCTTCTTTGTATCTTGTCTAAACCTCCTTCAGTGATGTAATCTTCACCTCCTAGTCTATTCTTGGCTCATTGTTTTTAACTCTGCTGTTAATCTATCGCCAATTATATATACTCTAATTTTTTTATTTTTTCAAGGGTCCATGTTGGGGCAACAAACACGAGTTTGTCATGTACAAGTACATATATCCTGAGTGAGTTTTTGTGCAGGTTCGTGAAGGCTTTAGTAAAGTTTTGAATAAAGTACTTATGTTCGGTTTGTGGTCAAGTGTAATTTCTACCAAGCTCTTTTTTCCATCTCGGGTGAATGTTTTCCTCCTTTCTGGTACCGTCTCTGACCGGCTTTTTAACCACATTGTTTGACACTTCCTATCAGTGATGTCTCAGTGCTACCTGCTAGGCTATTTTTAACAGTTTGACAAATACCTTTTTAAATTTGGTAGTCTTCTTCCTTTCGTGTCATTCTCATTAACTTGGTGTCATCGAAGAGAGGAGCTTACGACGACGTTTCGGTCCGACTTGGACCGGGTTATTTGTGTATCGTTCCAGTGCCTTTTTTTTTTTTTTTTTTTTTTTTTTTTTTATTGGTGTCATCCTGAGATGTCGACATAAAGGTCTCTCTCGTCGATTATTTCTCTCCTTATTACCTGTTTTTTCCTCTTCTTTTCCTCCCTTCCAGCAGAGAACTCACTCTGTCTTGATCGGTCGTAACTATGTAAATAAGTTTAGGTAGTGCGTCTCATTGTTGACGGAGGATTGAGCCTCCAACACTCCTTGTGCTGAACGACTCGCATATTAATTTTTATTCATTAATTTTTACGTGGCAGGTATGCTGAAACACGGGGTGGGGAGTCACCATGCAGACTCTCAACCTCTGGAGGATATCTGCCAGGACCTACACTGTCGTAGAGATCACTACACCTGGACCTCCCACCCTGCCCTGGAGGGTACCTCCTGCGGTCATCGCAAGGTACGTACCCCCACCCCTCAAGGTACGTACCCTCACCCCTCAAGGTACGTACCCCACCCCTCAAGGTACGTACCCCCACCCCTCAAGGTACGCCCCACCCCTCAAGGTACGTCCCCCGCCCCTCAAGGTACGTACCCCCACCCCTCACGGAACGCCCCCACCCCTCAAGGTACATTCCCCACCCTCAAGGTACGTCCCCCACCTCTCAAGGTACGTCCTCCCACCCCTCAAAGTACGTCCCTCCACACCTCAAGGTACGTACCCTGCCCTGCAGGGTACTGCCTGTGACCAATCCACCCTGCCCTGGAGGGTACCACCTGTGACCCACCCACCCTGCCCTGGAGGGTACCATCTGTGACCATCCCACCCTGCCCTGAAGGCTACCGCCTGTGACTCACCCACCTTGCCCTGGAGGGTACCGCCTGTGACCCACCCTGCCCTGGAGGGTACCGCCTGTGACCCACCCTGCCCTGGAGGGTACCTCCTGTGGTCACAGCGAGGTACGACTACCTTACTCTCCCTCCATCGCCTGTGACTTGGTTAGACTTGGATATGGCTTGGACTGCGACTATTATTTTCCCCTTATATTGTGGTTGTGAACCTTGTAGTGTGTCGGTATCCTGCGTCTGGTAACTGCACTTGCTACTGGCAGCTACAGTGTGTTTAGATTCCTGCAGTTTGGTATTAGCGGAAATGTATTAAAGTTGGCACTTTTTTGTAAAAAAAAAAAGTGCTGAATAACTGCATGGTTCTAGCCAGTGACGGGGCTAAAAACAGTTGTATTTTTACGTATTGACATTTGTATTTACAGAAAAAATGGCATTTGGAGTTGGAGGGAAAATATAGTTGTGTAATGTATTTGTATATTTGTATTTGATGTTTGCTATTTACTACAAGTACAGTTCCACAGTTACTTTGCTTATCTAAAATCTAGCGATCTCTAACTTAATGACATTTTTATTTGAAATTTAATTATCCAGTGTATACTGACCCACCAGCTTCCTGTGTTGAGACAGGAAGTTAGTGTTGCAATCGAGGTGCTTCGTACTGTTAGGTGCAACCTGACTCACTCCTTATTTGATAAAAGTTAATGTTTGCCAAGTGCAACTAGTAAGATATAGGACAGTCTAACTGAGTAACTAAGTGCAGATGTTTATAATACGGAAATTAGATGACACATATACCATCATTGTTTTTTGTACAGTAATATACTTTGAGAAAGTTTTTATTTTACGTCTGATAAAGCGTGATGCTTCCCCACCTCTCCCAAAGGTAATATTTTGTGAAGGGTTCAGGGAAACTGGTTAGCCGGCCTTGAGTCCTGGACGTGGGAATGTTTGCAATCTAAAGGCCGGGGTTGGGATATTTACTGTTTGGAGGGACATTTGACCTGTCGTATCTGCTCGCCTCTGGAAAGACAGTGATAGTGTGAATAATGGTGAAATTGTTTCTTTTTTTGGGTCACCCTGCCTCGGTGGGAGACGGCCAGCGTGTTAAAAATCTATTACCAAACATTTTGCAGCTCAAAATACATTGTTACTGAATGTTCCATCACTGTAGACTGAAATTCTTTCATTAATATTAAACCTTTATAAAGTGACTAGTGTTGTTTAGCAGTGCTGTGAGTTAGAGCAACAATATTAGTACGTACACATATTAAAAGCATGAAAACTGTTGTACAGCCATAGTAACAAAAGTCATGCAGTGAGTGACAAGCTTGTGCTTGAGCTGTACTTGTGGCACATTACACTAGTGGCCACTAAAATATCTTACAAATCCATTTTCAATATATTGCGTGAAAACTGTGGTAAAATGCCTCTACATTCGTAATTGCCATTTATTTACGTCTGGAAGCTCGTATTTGGTTTGTTCATGAATATTTGTATTTTATTTGACTTTGTAGCTTTTTAAGCTGTATTTATTTTGTAATTGGAGGTTTCCAAAAATAAATATTTGTATTTGAATCTTATTTCCTGGAGAGGTTCCTCTCCCGGAGGTACACTTCCCACTGGCTGCTTGCTAGGTTAAGAATCCAGCATCTCATATAAAGTCACCTTATATATTATATATCATCTATTTTTACAAGTACTTATACAGCAGTAGCTGACATCTGTGACATACTTTATAGTGAACCCCTGGTTATGCAGAGCATTTCCGGCAACTTAGGATAATCTTGTCCTCCAGGATGCTACCCACACCAGTCGGCTAACACCTAGGTACTTACTTGCTGCTAGGTGAACAGGGACAACAGGTGTAAGGAAATAACACGCCCAGTTGTTTCTCCCCGTACCAGGGATCGAACTACGAAACGTTTTCCCACGGAATGTTCTCCCAATAAAAGTTTATTCCACAGTGTTTGTCTTTTAGTGTTGTCGGCAGGACTCTGTTCAGATTTATCTATTTCGGCATAAATGTTGGGGCTATTTGCGTATTGTCAAAATTTCCTTCTCCTTGTTCGCATTATACCTGAAATTATGGATATTTTGTCGAATGCGAATGATATTTTGCATTGATTTAATTACCTTACGAGGAACTGTAACATGTCGGTAAATTAGTAACGACAGCAGAAAATGGTAGCGATAGTAATTAAGATAGTTAATTGGAGATAATGTCAGTACTAGTTTATGTTCAAAATGTTGAATAATCCAACGCATCCAACCTCATGCTCTTTTCCACACCCTGCCTTCAGTTTACCCCTGCCTCAACTTACCCTGTCTCACTCATTCAGCATCAGACTCGCCCTGCCTGGAATTCTCCGTGTTTCCAAATTTTGCCTCAAACTCACCCTGCCTCACATTTCCTCTGCATATTACTCTAATATATTTTGTAAATGTAGTACTCCCATTGGCAGTTATTCAAACCCACAGCTTTCTTTATTGCTCCATGCATACAGAGGCTTCGTAAGGGGAGGGCGGGCCGCCCCGGGTGACACCATAGAGCCTCTAAAGAAGGTAATACTAATGACCAAAACCATGCTGCAGCAACCTAAGACAAAAATCCTTCGTTTCTGTATAACCTATTATAGGATTACATAGTACAAATAGGCCTATATAGGGAAAATCATTGATTTAGATGATGTGATAGATGATTTTGCAGGATTGAAGGCAAGGAAATGAAATATCAGATTCTTTGAGATGTTACCTGTACTCAAGGTTAAATCGGAACTAGTGTTTTTCTTTATTTTTCAAGTTTTTTTTTCATTGTTGAAGATGAATAAAAGTGGTATTTGAGTTTATGTTTCCTCAATATTACAACGATTACTTATTTTATCATTAATAAAGTTCGGTTTATGGCCTTTAAACGTTCTCATTTCTAAACATTAGTCACTGGTCATGCAGCAGTGATGTAACTGGTCATGCAGCAGTGATGTAACTGGTCATGCAGCAGTGATGTAAGTGGTCATGCAGCAGTGATGTAACTGGTCATGCAGCAGTGATGTAACTGGTTATGCAGCAGTGATGTAACTGGTCATGCAGCAGTGATGTAACTGGTTATGCAGCAGTGATGTAACTGGTCATGCAGCAGTGATGTAACTGGTTATGCAGCAGTGATGTAACTGGTTATGCAGCAGTGATGTAACTGGTCATGCAGCAGTGATGTAACTGGTCATGCAGCAGTGATGTAACTGGTCATGCAGCAGTGATGTAACTGGTCATGCAGCAGTGATGTAACTGGTTATGCAGCAGTGATGTAACTGGTATATGCAGCAGTGATGTAACTGGTATATGCAGCAGTGATGTAACTGGTATATGCAGCAGTGATGTAACTGGTATATGCAGCAGTGATGTAACTGGTCATGCAGCAGTGATGTAACTGGTCATGCAGCAGTGATGTAACTGGTCATGCAGCAGTGATGTAACTGGTCATGCAGCAGTGATGTAACTGGTCATGCAGCAGTGATGTAACTGGTTATGCAGCAGTGATGTAACTGGTCATGCAGCAGTGATGTAACTGGTCATGCAGCAGTGATGTAACTGGTTATGCAGCAGTGATATAACTGGTTATGCAGCAGTGATGTAACTGGTTATGCAGCAGTGATGTAACTGGTCATGCAGCAGTGATGTAACTGGTCATGCAGCAGTGATGTAACTGGTCATGCAGCAGTGATGTAACTGGTCATGCAGCAGTGATGTAACTGGTCATGCAGCAGTGATGTAACTGGTTATGCAGCAGTGATGTAACTGGTCATGCAGCAGTGATGTAACTGTCATGCAGCAGTGATGTAACTGGTTATGCAGCAGTGATGTAACTGGTCATGCAGCAGTGATATAACTGGTCATGCAGCAGTGATGTAACTGGTCATGCAGCAGTGATATAACTGGTCATGCAGCAGTGATGTAACTGGTTATGCAGCAGTGATGTAACTGGTCATGCAGCAGTGATGTAACTGGTCATGCAGCAGTGATGTAACTGGTCATGCAGCAGTGATGTAACTGGTCATGCAGCAGTGATGTAACTGGTCATGCAGTCAGTGATGTAACTGGTTATGCAGCAGTGATGTAACTGGTCATGCAGCAGTGATGTAACTGGTCATGCAGCAGTGATGTAACTGGTCATGCAGCAGTGATGTAACTGGTTATGCAGCAGTGATGTAACTGGTCATGCAGCAGTGATATTAACTGGTCATGCAGCAGTGATGTAACTGGTCATGCAGCAGTGATATAACTGGTCATGCCAGCAGTGATGTAACTGGTTATGCAGCAGTGATGTAACTGGTCATGCAGCAGTGATGTAACTGGTCATGCAGCAGTGATGTAACTGGTCATGCAGCAGTGATGTAACTGGTCATGCAGCAGTGATGTAACTGGTCATGCAGCAGTGATGTAACTGGTTATGCAGCAGTGATGTAACTGGTCATGCAGCAGTGATGTAACTGGTCATGCAGCAGTGATGTAACTGGTCATGCAGCAGTGATGTAACTGGTCATGCAGCAGTGATATAACTGGTCATGCAGCAGTGATGTAACTGGTCATGCAGCATGATGTAACTGGTCATGCAGCAGTGATGTAACTGGTTATGCAGCAGTGATGTAACTGGTCATGCAGCAGTGATGTAACTGGTCATGCAGCAGTGATGTAACTGGTCATGCAGCAGTGATGTAACTGGTCATGCAGCAGTGATGTAACTGGTCATGCAGCAGTGATGTAACTGGTTATGCAGCAGTGATGTAACTGGTTATGCAGCAGTGATGTAACTGGTTATGCAGCAGTGATGTAACTGGTTATGCAGCAGTGATGTAACTGGTCATGCAGCAGTGATGTAACTGGTCATGCAGCAGTGATGTAACTGGTCATGCAGCAGTGATGTAACTGGTCATGCAGCAGTGATGTAACTGGTCATGCAGCAGTGATGTAACTGTCATGCAGCAGTGATGTAACTGGTCATGCAGCAGTGATGTAACTGGTTATGCAGCAGTGATGTAACTGGTCATGCAGCAGTGATGTAACTGGTCATGCAGCAGTGATGTAAACTGGTCATGCAGCAGTGATGTAACTGGTTATGCAGCAGTGATGTAACTGGTCATGCAGCAGTGATGTAACTGGTCATGCAGCAGTGATGTAACTGGGGTTTACTAGCCCCATCCCCCCGCCCTTGGATTTCATGGGGGTGACACCAAAGATGTCACCCCGGGTGACACCAGAGATTCCGCCCCGGGTGACACCAACCCTAGCGACGCCTCTGCATGTATAGATACTTGAGTTGCACAGAGCGTATAAACTGACGTGATGCTTTTTATTCTTGATCTCAACAGGGAAACTTTTTGCTTTTATTCCCACTATTTAGCTAATACGTAAGTAGGGTAGCTGCACACTTCTGATGCACCCAATTTTGTTTGAAAATGATCCTATAGAGACTCCGTCTCTCCTGCCACAGTGGTGCCAGCGTGGTAGATGTACGGAAAACGCCAAGGCTCCAGCTCTCGTCCCCTCGTCATTGGTGTCCGGGTCGGGTGAAGGGTCGTCTGCAGGAGTGGGTGGCAAGTGGGGTGTGTGGTCTGAGTGCCGCTCTGCCTGTCTCTACGGTGACGACGGTGTCCTGTCTTCCGGCAGCTCTGGTCTCTCCCTGTCTGAGAGACGTTGTGGGTAAGTCACTGACTGCAGGAAGGGAGGGGGGAATTATTTTGAAACAAGGGTAGTTTATTTTCAGCCATTAAATACAACGAATTGCATTGATACTGTTTATCCAGCATTTGAATACTTCGAGTAAATCTGGAGTTTACAGGCACTTGAGTACGTCCAGCAAGTCTGGAGTTTATCCAGCACTTGAGTACGTCCAGCAAGTCTGGAGTTTATCCAGCACTTCAGTACTTCCATCAGGTCTGGAATTTTCGTACACAGTTGCATTTTACGTATGATAAATATGACCTCTAACAGGACTGGAATTTCTGAAATATTTTAATATTATTTCTACCCTGGATGAAACCCCAAGTAATCAGGTGACACACAGGTAAATCTATCTAGTTTTACTGGTAAGTGGGCAGGTTCAGCAACTGTATAAGGGAAACTTACCAATACAGAGTAGTAGTAGGGAAGGAAGCGAAGGTTTTCCGAGGGAGGCAGAGAAGGGAGAGTGTAAATGAGGGAATTGTAAGGAGATATTGTATTTCATTAGGTGCTGAATTCCCGTGGATTTAATGCATAGAACAGTGGAGGCTCCAGCTTGCGTCTGCTTATGGCCCAGGTTCTGGACGTCAGTGAGGAACAATAATTGTAAAGAGAGGAAACGGGAGTAGTGAAAGAGGCAGCCTAGTTCACTTAGTTGTTATTATCTGTAATAGTACAGTACGAGTATTAGCTTCATCTTTCCTCATTTCCACTTAAATTTAAATTTGTTTTCAAAATAATGTTGCTGTTTCAGCTGTTTCCCAAGCGTTTGTGTCCCCAGACGCTGGGTCATTTAGACGCAGTGGTGAGGTTTGTGGTTTGATCCTAGGGGTAAGGGGAAGCCCTCTTCTCTGGCAAGGGTACCACTGTCTCCACAGGGGGGTCTTTCCTGACTAAGAATCCAGCATCTCCTTCGGCATAAATGGTGGAGATATTCATCCTTTCCTCTAAATTTGCCGAAACTTTTGGTCAATGACATGAAGCGTTTATGGACACGGATTGTGGAATTTAAAAAATAATTTTGAATAGTTTTTATTGCGTTGTAATTATATATGTGATTCTTCTTCTTCTTATGACCAGAGCTTTGGTGAGATGGGTAAGGAAGAAGGATGGGTAAGGATAGAAATATTGGAAAAGGGTGGGAGGGGGGAGAGAGGTAGGATATAAAAGGTAAGTGGCCCAACCACTTTGGTGTAATTTAAAAAGTGTATGTGAAATGATAAGATATTCTTTAAGGGGTATAATACTAACCCATCAGAGTCACATAGATATAACAGATATGTAAGTACATGACTCTGAATTGGTAGTAAATATACAAGTTGCAATTGCTGTTTTTTTTTTTTTTTTTTTTTTTTTTTTTGCTATTGTACAACGGATATTTAAGCGACAATGACGGCAATAATTTCCTGGCCAGTTTATAAAAAATTACTTGACACAATGGCTTCTTACAGGTGGTGTCCAGCCATAGTAAATGTAGCATAATTTTTACAGTAGAATGTTATATGTCTCCCTAATTGCGGGCGATGATGTTCTCAGTAAACATAGAAGGGTTCTGGTGTTACCCAATCTTCTTCATCAGGGAGGTTGCTCAATATCATGGGTCGATGGTAATCATCTTTATGTATAAAACGACGGACCCTCTGTGGGAGAGTCATTCTTTGAGTCCTGTGAGGAGGAGTATTGATGATATAATCCGTGGTATTTACCACTTGTATAGGATGTTCTCTATCTGGCATATAGAGTTCTTGCATTGTATAGAGTTGTTTCTTTTCCAGGGTGTCAAGGCGTACATTTAAGGCAGTAATATCTTGCTGTACGTGTAAATCAGCCATTTTAACTCTGTCTCTCCTCCTGGTACCTGTAATGAAGCGAAGAGCTCTATTCTGGACCCGTTGCAACCGTAGCATGTTGGTCTTTGTTGTTAATGTCATTGGGACACATGGGTATTCGAGTATAGGTCTTATTATCATCTTATACAGATGTTTTTTGACATGTGGAGGGGCTTGATTGAATCTAAAAAGACAGCTAAGACCGGCTTTGGCTATGTTGATCTTCTTATTTACATGAGATGTTGAGTGGAGCAGCCTGTCTATTTCATATCTCAAGATCTTGTTAGGGTTTCTAATGGCTACAGGTGCACCTCTGATGGAGATACCCCCTTTATCTTCGATGGTTGATGCAAAACATCCTATCGTGCTAACCAGGACTTTGTCAGGGTTAGTTGTAATTCTCCATTTCTTTTCCCAATTAGATGTTCGACGAAGTTCAATATTCATTTTTTCTATAACTCTCTCATACTTGTATTTTCCTGTTACCGGAGTTGATGAGACGACATGGATAACATCATCTGCAAACTGTGTTATAATTGTATCATTAAACTCTGGTTGAGGAAGGTCATTCACATAAATGTTGAAGAGAATTGGACTAAGACAAGAACCTTGTGGGACACCAGCTGTCGGTATAAAAGGCTCTGTCGACCTGCCATGAAAGGTGGGAATGATTTTTCTTTGAGTTAAGAAATTATATATTAATCTGAGAAAAGTCCAGTTATGATCTGGTAGGTCAATGAGTTTGTATATAAGGCCATCATGCCATAAGCTATCAAAATCTTTATGAACATCTCTGGTGGCAATTAGGGCAAGATTGCCCTGATGTTTTAGACTTGCTACAGTATCGAAAATACTATTTATTGCATGATGGGTACCTCTATGTGTTCTAAAGCCAAATTGTTTTTCAGTAAAAAGGTGATTCAACTCCATATAGTAGTTCAATCTGTTGGAAATGATCTTCTCAAGAACTTTTCCAGTGACTTCAAGTAAAGATATAGGTCTATAGTTCCCTGGTTGGTGGATGTCTTTATTGGGCTTACCAAGAAAGATCATCCTAGCAGTCTTAAAAACCAAAGGAAAATGTCCTGAGGCTAAGATGGCATTAAAGATATTAACCAAAGACTGTTTACAATTTCTGGGTAGGAACTTTATTTGTTTCATTGTTATTCCAGAGAGGCCAGGGGCTCTATTTCGCATTTTTCCAATAACCTGACTCATCTCAAGTAATGTAATTGGTCTAGTAAGCGGGTGGGCATCTTCAAGAGTTGATGTATCGATGGAAGGTAGTGGTTGTAGATCATCTAAGTTCTCATCTCTCCATTCATTTACCAACTGATAGTGATTATTGTCACTCCCTCGATGCCCACTCCTTACCACTCTCACAAAAAGCTAGACCTGACATTAAATTGATAATTATAATATTAAAACCAGCTACTCTGATAAATTAAAGTTGTGGACTGTATATAATTAAGTTTGCTGGGTACACAGTATAATTGTTATTAACACTTACCATTTAATTACTGTAGCTGGATCACACCACAACACCTGCCTGGCACCCAGACCCTACACTGGCAGCTAGAGATCTACATGAAAGGACTGATGGCGCAATTCCCTGTGTGAGTGATGGCATATTTCTCATCTTCCGCCACTGCAAATATAAGTTCTGTCAAGCACCTCAACTACTGGGAATGCTTGGAAGCACTTGACTTGTACTCGCTGGAATGCAGGAGCGAGAGATATATCATAATCTACACTTATAAAATCCTAGAAGAAATCACTCCCTACGAAAGTAAAAGACTGGGCAGGCGGTGCAAAATGTCCCCAATGAAAAGTAGGGGTGCCATTGGTACACTTAAGAGAAAGCACCATAAGTGTCCGGCGCCCAAAATTCTTCAACAGCCTCCCACCATGCATAAGGGGAATTACCAATAGGCCCCTGGCTGCCTTCAAGAGGGAGCTGGACAGATACTTAAAAGTCGGTGCCGCATCAGCTGGGCTGTGGTTCGTACGTTGGACTACGTACAGCAGTAACAGCCTGGTTGATCAGGCCCTGATCCACCGGGAGGCCTGGTCTTGGACCGGGCAGCGGGGGCGTTGATCCCCGGAATACCCTCCAAGTAGACTCCAAGTAGATCTACGCGTAATTCTTGATGTCCCGCAAATTTTCCTGTCCCAGTTCTTCAGTAGGGGAGTTACACTGGTTTCTATTACAAATTCAGATCGAAAAAAAAAAATTGGCCACGAAGGCACCAAATTATTAGCTGAATTTTCCACAACAACCAGTATTCACAAATTACAAATGGCGTCTCTCCTGCGTCACTCTGCAGCTATTCCTCCCCCCCTCCTCACTCGAAATTTTTCGAAAGTGTCAAATCAAGATCATATTTTATTACACAATTATTATATTATTCATTTATATGTTCTACATTTAGGAAATTATGTAAAAAAATCCACATTGGAATTCCAGAATAACCTGAAGGTGTTAATACTTTGTAATTAAAATGGGACAACCTAGTGACGTATCGAGGCACAGCGCTGGTTTACTATTGTCTGCTTTATAGACTATTTCTCTGGACTATATTTTAGGCCAAGTTATATTAATATAAATTAACTAAAATGAACCAACTGCAACAGTAATTAAAAAGCTCAAAAAAATGAGGATTGAGTGTGAACTCGGGTTGTACAAGCGGCAGGTAATAACATAATGGTAACGTTTGTTTCTCAACACTGTTAATGATCTGTACAGACAAGTTTATGTACAGGCTGGATTGTTGGGCTGGTGTGGGGGGGGGGGTTTACGTTACTCATCATCATGTGTTACTGTTGTGTCATCATCTTGTTACTGCTGTATCATCATCTTGTGTTACTGTTGTGTCTTCTTGTGTTACTGCTGTATCATCATCTTGTGTTACTGTTGTATCATCATCTTGTGTTACTGCTGTATCATCATCTTGTGTTACTGTTGTGTCTTCTTGTGTTACTGCTGTATCATCATCTTGTGTTACTGCTGTATCATCATCTTGTGTTACTGCTGTATCATCATCTTGTGTTACTGCTGTATCATCATCTTGTGTTACTGCTGTATCTCATCTTGTGTTACTGCTGTATCATCATCTTGTTACTGCTGTATCATCATCTTGTGTTACTGCT